GCATTCAGGGGTGTCCAAAACGTATGAATTCTCGCAGAGAAGGAAAAAAATTGGCAAATTTCTTTTTGGAGTCAGTGCAAAAATTTTAACATGTTTTATACAATCTGTAAATTACAATATCTGATTCTATATTCTTTCGAGAAAAAAACAGCGTTTATTTCGTTCGATTATCACAGAAATAGCAGAAATAGGAGCAAAATTAGTAAGTAACTTACAGCTCTTACGGATATCTAAGAGCGGCCCTTTAAATAATTGCGTACCGCTGCCAAAGCCTAAGTTTAAAGGGCCGTAGGATAAAGGTTAACACACAGTTCGGTGTATGTTTTCCTTTGGCACCACAGCCCCAATTTAGGCCTTGGCCTACCATCATGACACTCTCTGTTTCACTTTGGTTTACCAGATCTCAGACGTCCAGTAGGATTCCTTGGGCGGGTGATCAGCTCATCACAAGTCTCTACCTGTACACAAACACAGAAAAACACACGCACACACATACACCAAACATTCATGCACGGAGTGGGATTCAAACCCACAATTCCAGCTTCTAAGTGAGTGAAGGGAGTGCATGCCTCAGACCGCTTGGCTACCGTGACCAGCTTGGTGTATGGGAGACCATGTGCAAATACTATACAAGGCGAACTGGAAAGTTCCTGGACTAGGGCAAAAAAGAAATACTGACTTAACTTACTTTATTCTGTCTACCATCTCCTTCAAAACAGTCTCCTTGAGAACGTACACAGAGTTCTCATCATTGTTTCCACATTTCAAGAGCGACGTGGAAGACATTTTCCTCAATGCTGCCGAGTACCGCTTGTGATTCCCTTTGGAGGTCAGATACTGTTTCAAAACTTTGTCCCTTCAGTTTCATTTTCAAATTGGGAAACAGTGAAATCACAGGGGGGCTAAGTCCGGCAAGTAGGGAGGATGGGAAACGAAAACCACGTTGTTAGTCACAAACTCAGTGGCTTTCAGGGATGTGTGGGTGGGTGTGTTGCCGTGATGAGGGGGCAATATGGCACACATACAAATTCTCTGTTGAAATCTTCTGGCAAACTCCATGACTGATCCCAATGGTGTCTGCAAGGTCATGGATTGTTGTGTGAGTCTTTGTGGATGAGTTCTCAAATTTTTCAACATTTTCTGTCATTTTGCTGGTGCTTGGTCACCCTGAATGTTCATCACCTTCAAATGACACTTGACTGGCCTTGAAATGTGAATGCCATTCAAAAACCACTGTCCCTCTTAAAGAACGTTCTCCAAAGGCCTCATGAAGCATTTCTAGAATTTTGGCAGTGGATTTACCAATGATATGTATGTACTGGCCGTCTTGTATTGCACTCAATCTCACA